AAGGCTGGAGGGAGGAGGAGGAATAAGGTGTGTGGAAATGGGCATTGTTTCCCTGAGTGCCAGCTCCCCTGTCTGTGTGCAGTGGAAGCCAGATGGGGCTCGAGGTCCCCATTCCTTCATCAGAAATTTCTTAATGTTTTGGCAGAGCAATGGATTTATGAGTGTGGGAGAAAACAAAAACTGAATTCCGTCTCAACGGGTTACATTTCATGTGAGGCAAGCGTTGCCTGCCTTGTTTTATAGTATCTGGTGCTGGGAAGGCAGGCTGAATGATTTATGAGCCCAAGTTAATAGTAAAACAGCATATCACTGGCTCTGTATTAATGTTCTGCTGTGCTGGAGTGGCTGGCTCTTTCTGAGGGGATTTATGCAAGGATCACTCTGCTGTTGCATTGCTGTAGTGGCGTTCTGGGGTGGCCCGTTTGTCACCGTGGGGGGGACAAAACGAGAATGCTGTTTCCCTCTTGGCTGGCAAATCAAAGGGAGAGTCACATCTGTGTGTTAGCTGCACCTGCTATGGATATTGGGAGATGGGGAGAGCAAATGTCAGTGGCACAAAGAACAGGGGAGGAAATGAAGGAGGAAATAAGAGAGGCAGATAACGTGGTCTGTGTGGCAGTGGCTGTGATTCAGACTCGTGCAGGGCACCTTGCCACCCTGCAGCTGCTCAGAGAAGTCGAGTGGTGGGACTGTGTCTTGAATCCTCTGATGGGGTTTATCTGCCTCAATGTGTGCTGCCCTTAGACCCTGTGGCAGGGCAGGGTTTGGGCTGTAGGAGTCACAGGAAAGCAGCCAGGGCAACTGGGAAGCAGTTCTAATTCCAGAAATTCCTGTGGATGGCAAATTTATAGGGTAGGCAGAAGATGAGGGGAGCATCCCCACCCCACTGCTGATTTGGGAGGTGGTGAGGATGGGAGGTGCATGCTGGCTTTCCTGCAAGGAAGCAAGATGCATGAAAGAGTCTGCAGATTCCCCTGGTCTGGAGAACCACAGGGGAGAGCTTTCATGGAGGCTTGGTTCCTAAAGACACCAGAAAATAGAACAGTATATTCCCTTTGTGCAGCAGAGAGCTCCTCTGGGGATGGAGCTTGCAATTGTAATATTCTTGGACTTCTCCTCCAGAGGCTGAGACAGTGGGTTAGTGGTAAGATGAGAGCTCAGTTCATTGCTCCTGGTGCAGGGCAAGAAGACATCGATCTGTGGTAAGTCTGGAGCTCATCTGCGTGCAAGGAGAGCCAGCCCCATCGACTGGCAGTGCAATCTGATGCTCCATGAGCCCATGCTGGGCTATAATTGTGCTATTAGAGCAGCAAATGTCAAATCTCGGGAAGCTGAGTCAAAGCGACCCTTCCAATTCTAATATAACAAAATCATTAAGGATGAAATGTTAAGTGGCTCCATTGGTCAGAGATGGGCTTGGTAGAGATAAGTAAGCCAGATCCCATTCCTTTGTGTGGGGAGCTCCATGTGTCTGGAGGCCAAAGTCAGTTTGAGGGGGGTTTGGAGGGTGTGTGTGGCTGCTGACAGTGAGGGGAAGGCACGAGGACCTTGGTGGAATTGAGGCCATCTGAGGAGAGACCCTGTGCTGCTGCTCTTGCTGTGGGTGCTTCCATTTGCTTTGCTGCTTTTGACTGTTTCGTGACCCTGAGCCCTCTTTAAAAGGCCTTCCTGTGCTCATTTCAGAGCTCTGCATTTCTGTGCCACGTCTAGCTCTATTCTGGTCCTGCTTTGAGAGATACTGAATGAACGTGGACATAATGGCTGAGATGGTGCTTGGCCAAGTGCTTGGCACCCGGGATGTGGCAGCTCCTGGGCTGGCCTGCCAAGAAGCACCTTTGTTGCAGGCTGTTAGGAGGCTTGACAAGAGGCAGAGGAGCTTAATGTGCCACTAAAAATTCTGGCACCAGGTTTTTACATCCCTGAACCAGGAAACAAGATTCCAAGGCCCTTATATATTATCCTTAGGGGTAGTACATCCTGTTCTTCACAGCCCCCATCTGTTGATGCTCCATAGCAGCAATGTTTCTGATGCTCTGGCACAAGGGAGCACCAATTTCCATGCTCAGGCTGAAGCCCAGAGATATCTTTCACACCTAAAATTCTCTCACACCAAAAAGCTGTTTGTGAACAGCCACAGGGTGAAGAAGAAATTATTCCAGCTCCTAGTTAGTTTTCTTTTACTCCAGGCCTATATCTGAGTTTGCAACCTGCCTTTTCAGTTTCCACCTCCCATAGCTGAGTCTCAGTTGAATGAACTGGCTGAATTCCCACCTGAGCAGGTTCAGCTCTCTCCTGGCCACCCTTGTCTCAAAGCCTTTGTCACATCCCTGATCTCTCACTGCTTTATAACTGACTGTCACCTGCCAGGCTTGGGTCTGGGAGCACAGGGCTGGGACTGAGCTAACCCAGCCTAGCTGGGCTTCCCTGCTTTGGGTCTGTGCTTCAGTGCCTCCACCTTTCTGCTTGTGTATGGATTGGGGTCCCCAAAACAATGGTTCTTATTGGTGCTAAGAACAAGCAACATGAGATTGAGGGTATGCAGCAGGGCTTCCACTCAACTTACTGAGCTTGTCATCACTCAGGCTGCACCTGAGTTTTACCAGATTCACAGTGTTTAGAAATCTGAATTGGAGTTAAAACCTCTGGTTACGCAAAGAATGCCTTGGTGCAAAGCAAAGATTTTCAGAAGCTGTACCTAGGATATCCTCATTGGGATGAGAGAGTAAAGGCAGAAGGGTGGGGAGCAAAATGGGTTGACACTTTTCAAAAATACATTAGTGCAAACTGGCTACTTGGGTGTTTTAGCAGGAGTGTGAGTGGGGAGAAGGCAGGCCAGTGCAGGGTGTGCATCAGGCTGTGAAAATGTATATCCAGGTGAGGGGCTGACAAGAAGCTGTGAATTTACAAATAGGAGGAGATTGTTGCTTTTGCTGGTATTCAGCCTGGAGGTGACAAAAAGACATATTTTCACTCCTGTCCCAAGTGGCAGATTTATAACATGCAGAAAATTGACTTGGAATGCCAGTCCCCTGTCAGCTGGGAATGTCTCTGAGCCCCACACGTGAAGTTTATTCTGTGAGAACTTGGTAGCCTTGGTGGTGACTAGCAGAGTTTGGATCTAGCATGAGAGCATCATTAATGGTGGCATGTCAGAGAGATACAGAGGCAGGCTGTGAAAGAGGCTCTGCTGAGAGAAAAAGGATATAAGCACCCTCCTCCAGCCTTTTGCATTACTTCTTGGAGCTGAGCACAGAACAGTAAAACATTTTTTCTCCTTTGTCAGCTGGCAGAGGAGTTGTGCTTCTATGCATAATACAGGAGCTTTAAAAGCAAACATGCATGCAGCAGAGGTGTTGGAAAATCCCTGTAGCCATTGCTTTCTGAGAGCTGTGTTTACAATCACAGAAACACATCCACGTTGCTGCTGCTCAGCTCCTGATCACACACAGTAGAGAGTTGTTATTTAAATAAACATCTGAGCTCATATGGAGACTTGTTTTGTATTCTTTTGGGTAACTATCTGTTATGACAGCTGAAGTACTCTGGCTTCTGGCACTGATAGCAATCACTGATGTGTGATGTCAGGGCAGGAGATGGAACAGGAGCCCTGGATTCTGGAGTGGTGCTCAGGAGTCCTGAGGTCTTTGACCAGAAGGTGCCTTTTAGAATGAGTAATAATAAGCCATGCAATGTTGACTTCAGTGCTTTGCCATTTGGGTGGATATTCTGCACTTGATGGAGGAGAGGCCAGTTCCAGGGGTCATCTAAGGGTGGCAGTGAATGGGGGAAGATAACATACCTTTTTGAGAAACTGAGAAGACTTTTGTCATTCCTATCAGTAAGAATAACAAAGACAGAGTGACCAAATTCAGCAATTGGCAGAGCATCAACCTGTGCTCTGTCTTTCCTAGTAGCCAACAGCAGGGACACCGACAAGGATATTCACAATAGATGGGTGAAAAATCATCAACATCCTTTCCTAATCCATAATAGCTAAAGGTTGTTCTCAATTCTGAAAGTGCAGGGGTTTATATTCTCCCCAAGATGTTTGCTAGTGTTAGCTATGCTTGTTCAAGCTATTCCTGTTATCCACATAAATGTGAAGCTTTTGCTCTTCACCTCTGCCCTGTCATTTCGGGATGGTGAATGGAAATGCACTTCTAGGCTTCACTGGGAGCACGTCACTGAAGAGGATGTTCTCTGTCCTTGATATTTCTCTGTCTTCAAATCCATCCTGACTGGCAGCCAGCCCTCTGGCATCTGCTGGATTGGTTTCAAGGTTCAGTAAAATTTATTTTTTTTTAACTCCTTCTGTTCTTTGGTAAATTTTGGACTTTAGAGTCCAGACAGGGCCCACACATACTTTTCATGTGGAACCTGGCAAATTTTCCTTTCCTGAAAAGGTATTTCTGGAAAAAAAAAAAAGTCAAAGTATCCAAAGGAGATAATTCAGAGCAGAGGAGAAAATAATGGATTAAAGCAAGCAAGATGGCAATTATGTTCTCAGATAACTTCTAAAAACATCTCAGAAGTTTATTGACAGAAAATCTTCAGAGCCATTTGCATTCAGATATGAAAACATGTCATAGTGCAGTAGATCAGCCCTGGTTAGGCTAGGACTGAAATGATTGCAGACAATTTGATGTTTAAACTGTGCTTTGAACCTCTCATAAGTTGGTAAGAAATTCTGTGCTGAAATTCTGTGCAGGCTATTGTCTATCTGCCATTAGTTCAGCCTCTCCAAAGCTTCTTCTGTTTATCACTTGGTTGCTTTAGTAGACATTGGCATAAAGGAGCTTTCTCTGATAAAACCCCAATTCCATTTAAGTATTGATTTATTGGATGCTAGGATTGCAGCCTGAAGTTCAGAACATGAGGATGGGTTATAAAAGCAAGCCCTGGATGGCATGATTAGGGAGCCAGGCCCCATCTCTGGCTGAGTTGCAAGGCCCTGGGTATTATCTGTGGGTGACTTACAAATCTCTTTTGTGTTGCTGTAGAAGTTGGAACGTGGTTTCCAGGCTAAACGGCAAAATACACTTGAGCCATGGAGTCCAACCAGGAATCTTCACTCTTCCTGGTGAAGATACTGGAGGAGCTGGACACAAAGCAGAATACTGTTTCTTACCAGGATCTCTGCAAGTCCCTGTGTGCCAGGTTTGATTTATCTCAGTTGGCCAAGCTCAGAAGCGTGCTGTTTTACACCGCTTGCCTGGATCCTAATTTCCCAGCGACTTTGTTCAAAGACAAAATGAGATGCACTGTAAACAATCAGCAATCAAAGAAAATCATGGTTGCAGCAGATATAGTAACAATATTCAACCTCATCCAAATGAATGGGGGAGTGGCCAAGGAGAAGCTTCCAGTTTCAAGGCACAAAGTGAAGAAGAAGGAGTCCTTCGAGTCCTGCAGGTCTGACACAGAGATCTGCAATGTGGCAGACTGTGTGCCTGACTGCGTGCCCAACTGTGAGCTCAACGACCAGGACTTTAACCGGGGCTTTCCTGTCAGAAGGTCTTCAAAATGCAGGAAGATGGACTGCAAAGACTGCCAGCAGTTCGTCCCCTCGTCAGAACCCAACTTCTTGCTTGGTGTTAATAAGGACATGAAGGGCCGGGCTGCCTCTCTGGACAGGCTGCAGGCACTGGCGTCCTACTCCATTGCCACGTCCCCACCATGTGAGATGCAGAGCACCTACTTCCCCATGAACATTGAAAATGAGTCTATTTCAGACCAGGATTCCTTGCCTATAAGTGCAGGATTAAAAGAAACTTTCATTACAAATGACGAGCCATTCATGATGCAGTCATGTGTCCAGAAAAGAAATATATTCAAAGAAGATTTTCATAATCTGATTACAATATCTCCCAGCTTAATACCATCCAATAAAACACCAGAAGATGGACACAGAGAGCCTCAGAACAGGAAGGAAAGCTCTAAGCAGACTTTCTTCAACCACAGCTTTGAAATGCCATACAGCAGCCAGTACTTGAATCCAATTTATTCTCCTATACCGGACAAAAGGCGAGTGAAGCATGAAAGTTTAGATGATCTTCAAGCTTCTACATATTTTGGCCCAACTACTGTTCTTGGACCACAGGAAACCAAAAAGTGGACTGGAAAGCCAGCCAAGCAAACTGCCTGGCCAGCTAAAAGCTGGAGTTTAAATACTGAGGAGGTCCCTGACTTTGAACGCTCATTTTTTAATAGGAAGCAGTCTGAAGAGAAACCACGATACCAGAGTTCGAGCAATCCATCTCCAAACTTTCCTTCAGTTGACAGGCATCAGTCCTACCTAAATGCAAAGGATCAGCAACCAATTATGCAGGCAAACTATGCTGTGAAACCCAACGGGCACAAACCTAAGGAAATTCCTTCCATTCTAGATGTGGAGAAACATGAGCCAGTCAAAAAGTTTAAGGATAAAAGCATTAACTGTACTTCTGTGCAGATCTTAAGCATTGACAGGACCATGAGTGTTGGGACACAAACGGAGCAGCAGGTTCTGGAGCACAAGAAATGCAAGGATTTGTGTGCAGCAGGCCAAGCTAAGTATGGTGAGAGGCACTCTCTGAAGCAGTCAGATGATGACTCTGAAATCGTGAGTGATGATATCAGTGACATTTTCAGGTTTTTGGATGACATGAGTATCAGCGGGTCCACGGGAGTGATGCAGTCCTCGTGCTACAACAGCACTGGTTCCTTGTCTCAGGTGCACAAATCAGACTGTGAGAGCTCACCTGAGCACAATTTGACTAAGATCTCCAATGGGAGTGCCTGTAACAAACTGGATAAAGTGGTCAGGGCAGATGTCAGTAACACAGATGATGAACTGAAAACGAGCGTCTGCAAATTAGTCTTGAGGATTGGTGAAATAGAGAAGAAACTGGAGTCTCTCTCAGGTGTCCGAGAAGAAATCTCCCAAGTCCTGGGAAAATTAAGCAAGCTGGATCAAAAAATCCAGCAGCCAGAGAAGGTCAGTGTACAAATAGATCTCAACTCTTTGACGAGCGATGCCGCGTCAGATGAGAGCAACTCCCCGCAGATATTCCAGTGCCACAATACTCCTCATGGAGGCAAACTGGAGAATAATCCAGAATGGTGCTGTTCAGATGCCAGTGGAAGTAATAGCGAGAGCCTTCGAGTAAAAGCCTTAAAAAAAAGTTTGTTTACTAGGAGATCATCAAGATCACTAACAGAAGAAAACAGTGCGACCGAATCCAAAATAGCAAGTATTTCAAACTCTCCCCGAGACTGGAGAGCTATTACTTACACCAACCAAGTTGGCATTACAGAGGAGGAGGTGAAAGAGAGAGATGGAGGAGAAAATAAGGACTGGCACAGGAAATCTAAAGAGGTAATTTCAACTTTAACTCACATAATAAATGCTTAAAAATAATGTGGTTATGAATTCCACAGTCATCAAAAGCCTCCGGGTATGACAATGCTTTGCCTTGCCATGTTATGCCTGCCTTTATTGTTATCATAATTGAGTGATTTTGTACCTGCAGGTTCTTGCTTGGCAGCTGCAAAATGGCCAAGTTGCTTCTCAAAAGCTTTGCTTTTTTTGCAAAGAAAGGGTGGTAATGTAGGTGACATCTTGGGAAGGTGATGGTATTCTTCATCATCTGCAGCAACATAAGGAGGCCTGGTAATTACCTTGGTGAAAAGGGTGTGGGGGAAACTGAAATTGTCTAGTGATTGTTTTAGAAGAGATATTTTGAAATTGAATTGTGATGGCTTTTATCAGAGAAGTATGTGCATGTTTAAAAGCCAACAAAATAGATTCATGGATTCAAATCCCTCAAGGAAAAAAAACCTCGTATGTGTGCTGTGAGGTGCTCATTTTAGTTATGTTCTCACTATCTGACTTTCATGGTCATTTAAATGAGTCTTAAGCCTCCTGTTGTGTAACTGCAGTGTAGCTGGGCAGAAAAACTCTGCCCGTGCTCCCAGCAGCTTCCCTGTGCCCCCTTCAGTGACCCCATGGATGCCCTTGGGGCTCTGGGTGCTGCTCTGTGAAACTGCATGGGGTGGGTGCTTGTTCCTGTTTGGGGAGGGGGTCCTGCAGCCCCTTGCCAGCTGTGACCACAGGACAGGCTTGCTGTGCCTTCTGCAATGGGGTGTGAGGGCAGAGAAGGGTTGAGAACAGAGAGGAAGAGGTTTGGTGGAAGGAAATGTGCTTGGGCGAACAAGAAACCACAAACCATGGGTTATTGCTAGACTGCAGAGGGGGAGGAAGGCCATCCTTAGTCAGCCCAAACCTTGGCTTTTGTGTACACTGCTTTGCTTAGGATGACATGCTGATTTTGAGAGTCCCTCCCGGACTCCTTCAGTGGCCTGTGGCTGGCACTGGATGGTACCACAGATGCTGCAGTGTCAGGTGGGGGCATCCCTGAAGAATAATTCACGTTAGGATTTGATCTGGAAACAGAACCCTGGAAGCCTGCTTGTATCTCTCAGCTTTTGCAGATCAGCTGGGCTTTTCTGGATGTCAGGATATTTTCATAATATTTTTTTGATCTCTGAACAGCACAAACCCACAAACAGCACAATGCATCAGCATTGTGTTTGTGTTGGAATTGTGTCTGTAAAATACATCAATACTGCTTTGGTTTGTTTGTGAGAAGGTGGGCAAATGGATGAAGGCCATCCAAAACCTTTATCCTAACTGGTCTATTTTTTATCATATGGTGCTTCTAAAAGGAATATCTCTGTCTTTTGTGTTTAACTCCCTCATAGTCTTGTTTTTTCTCTCAAATTCTTTTAAACCCTATTGCAGGCAGACAGGCAGTATGAAATCCCACAGCCACATAGACTCTCTAAACAGCCAAAAGACGCTTTCTTGATTGAACAAGTCTTTAGTCCTCATCCCTACCCTGCATCACTCAAGTCACACATGAAAAGCAACCCTCTCTACACAGACATGAGGTTGACAGAGCTGGCTGAAGTGAAACGTGCCCAGCCGTCATGGACCATAGAGGAATACACGAGGAATTCGGGGGATAAAGGCAAGATTGCAGCCTTGGATCTACAAGTGAGTGTCATTTGTTTAATTTGAATGGCTTGATTGCAAATGGATGTTGCCAGAATATGCATTTAAGAAGGGATTTGGAAAGCTCAGGAAAGAGCTGTGGATTGCTGAGCCTCTAATCTTGCTGATCCCTATCCATCCTGGCCAGGGACAGTGAAGAATGTGAATGTTTTGTTTCTGAATGGTGATCCTTGACAAGCTGATGCTCCCAGCTTATTCTGCAATGGAGAAATGTCTTCTAAGCCATCGTGGCTTCAGTAGCTCTAAAGAAGAGTTGGGGAATAAGGGAGTGCAGGAGTGAGCTGGTTCCTAACTGCAGCAAGGCAGAGTGGTGCAGGAACTGGGACTGCTGCCTTTTCCTCTGACTCTGAATTATTCACAGGGAATTGCAATGTTAGGTTTTGTTTTTATTTTTTCATTTTACTAGGAACACAAGACATCAAATACTTGTAGAAGATGTTCAATACCACGACTGGTTTTGAAACACGTCACTGTGGAAGCTTTGAAGTGGCTGTTGGAAACCAGCCAGGCAACTAATGCTGTGTCTAGTTTGCATTTTGGTTCAGCTTGGAAGTGTGCAGGCTCTTGTGCAACAAGCAGAGGAGACACATTCAAATTTTACATTAACGTTTTCCTGACACGAAATCACAAACCTGACATAAAACGAGCACCCACGTTGGATACCCTGTGTAGTCTGATAAACACAACACATCTTTTAGGAAGGAAGGTATCTGAGCAGAGGTTTAAAGAGGAGGACTGAAAGATGCCATCCAAAATGTGTAAAAATGAAAGAAATTTTGCATTTTTGGTCTTGAAACCCAAAATGTGTCACACAGTGAACTGCACACTGATGTGAAAATATATGTGTATCGTTTATATGCACTTTGACAGTAGAATGTAGGACCAGTGGGGAGGTCTGGTGCTGACCTCAGGCATTTTGGGTTCTGAATGGCTCAGTTCTGACATACCTAAGCAAGCCCCAAACCCATCAGACTAATCCCTAGGAAAGCATCAGGATGCTGTGCCTCAGCACCCTGAGCTGGCTGATTTGGATTTGAAACCATCACTCACACAGTGCTGTAGTGCAGCTCCCATGAGTGTTTGTGCAGGAATTTGTGCACAACAAATTCACCTCCTTGCTTGGCTCATGCAAACTTCCCTGTCCTCACCAGCCCCTGCTCCTTGCTGTGGCTGAATTGCACTCTGAGAAAAACAAGCAGCACAGGGGGCAGGCTGCATCTTGCCTCAGCTCCCTGCTGCTTTTGGGGTCCTAAAAGCTTTAGATGGCTTACTGAATCCCTAACCCTTGCATTGCAGGCTGTGTGCTGGAGTAGGAATGGGCTGGAAGAAGTTCCTCTGCAGCAGGCAGTCACAAAGCATCACTTACCTGCTGTGTGAGGCAATAAGGGAGGTGATATTTGGAAGCAAAGCCCCTCTGGGAGAAGTGTTCTCCATCTGCTCCTCGTTGGGCTGTTTTGTTCTCTGTAAGCAGCTCTGCATGGCTGTGAGCAAACCAGAGAAATCGGCTTATTGCCATCATTTATCTTTAGGATAAAGGTGATAGAAGTTTACTGGTTTGATTCCCTCCCTCCAAAAAGATTGTCAGAATTGCATCTGCCCTGCAAAGCCCATGTCTAGACTTTATAATGGAGCTTACTGACAAACTTAAAAAATAGACACAGACTGATGAGTGGGTTTTTTTTCCCAGTGATTAAGTTTATTAGAACTGAAAGTAAATACATTATGCCTTAATGAACATTCCTGCGTCTGCCAATGAAATGGGAAAGGAAGCTGATTAACAGTAATGGGCCTTTTTAATAATGCATCTTCCTTCTGAAGTAGTTAAAAGGTCAATGCCAAGGCAGATGGGTCCAAAACTGCAATTTCCTTGAGGCATACTATTACTATCTTTGGGGGTTTTCTACCTTTGTTTACTTGAAATTTCTCCTGGAGCCTGACAAGTCTGCTGGGTTTTCTCCAAAAAAAGAAACTGCAAAACTAGTCAGGCCCAAAGCTTGTCCCAGGTGTGGGCTCTGTGTGAGATTCATTGCTTTGCTTTTGTGTGATGATCCACTGGGATCAAACAGTATCAGGCTATTTTCTGATGCCTTTAGAGATGAGATTGCTGCCTTTTTTCACAAGGCTGAAACAGGTCATTCAAAGCCATAAAGATACAATCACAGGTGTGGCTGATGGCCTCTGTTTCAGCACCTCTAACACTATCATAGAGGTGTCTATTAAATGATCATAAAACCATTGCTCAATTTTCTTTGTTTCTTTCTGAGATAGCTATAGAATCTCTTCTTTTAGTAGTTACTTACATTTAACAAATGCTGCTATCAGGAAAAGCAAAGTTTTAGCCAGTAGCTCCTGGCCTGAATCTGAAAAAAATCTGAATTAGTCAATTAAAGGCTAAAGGATTAATCAAATCCTTCTCAAGTCAGCTGGAGTTTCTTTGCAGAGTCCAACAAGCTTTGGATCAGGACTGTTACAAGCACAGAAAAGGTGTGTGTTAGGGTATTCTCACTGTAATATTTTTATATGAAATATTTTTCTTTTTTTTTTAAAGAAATGGGCTTTTGGAACCTCAGATAAAGGAGACAGCTTTGGGGAAATGCTGTCATTTTTCAAAATGTTTTTTTTTTTGCTTTACTCTTTTCTGCTGATAAGTTCAATATAATGTGTAGAGTTTCAGTTTCCCCAGTTTTCCCTTTATTTTCCTCTAAAACAGAGGTTAAAGTGGGGAAAAAACAAGCAAGGCTGAAATGGAAAGCTTTAAGAGCTCATAAGTACTTAGGAACAAAAAGCTGTAAGACATAAAAAATAAGTAATTCAGATGGAAATACTGATGAAGTTCTGCAGGTGGCCTGTGTCCCCAGGCAATGCCATTCCAGAGGAGGGGTCTGTGAATTGCCCCTGCAGCAGGGCTGGGTGCTGGATGGGGATGGGTTACCATCCCTGCAAGCAAATCGCGGTGACAAAATTAGGGTTAGCTTTGTAAAATGTAGTGCATGACGAGCATATATTAAGAACCTTTCCCATCAGCTGAGCTTTAATAATTTAAAAATTATTAACAGTAACAGGCCAGCACTTGCTGACACCTCTGCTGTCGAGCAGATTAAAGAGATCCTATTTAAATGCCATCCAAGATGACGAAGTTTCCGGTAAATCAGAGGTACGTGAGGGATTTTGGAGCAGAATCTTACTGTTGCAGGAGCCTATTTTTTTGCAGTATTTTTTTACCACTTTCATCAGCTTTATGGAATTGGGACCAGGAGATGGAGGGGTGTGAGAAGTGACAATAACCCACTTTATCCTGAGAGCAGATCCAGGTGCAGCTGGATACATCTGCTTTGCTCACTTATTTTATTAATGGCAGACCCCAATCAATTAACAACTGTTTCCTTTTGATTTTTAGACTCAAGAATCTTTGAACCCAAACAACTTAGAGTACTGGATGGAAGACATTTACACTCCTGGCTACGACTCCTTGCTGAAACGGAAGGAAGCCGAGTTCAGGAGGGCGAAGGTTTGCAAGATCGCTGCCCTGATCGCGGCGGCCGCGTGCACGGTTATCCTGGTCATCGTGGTGCCCATCTGCACCATGAAATCCTGAGCCTGGGCACAGCCCTGTGACCCCCAGCCACCCGAGGCTCGGCTAGCTCACGCTGTGTGACAAATGGCCGCTGGCAAAACTGTGAGGAGTGCGCTAAGGGACGATGCTCTGAGGATATCCCGCTGGAGAACGGAGGCGGAGCACAGAACAAGTAGAGATGTGTTTTTGGAAAAGTCCTATTTTAAATAACAGACTGTGTGGTGGAGTTAATGGGAACTCGGTTCGATTTTTATGCATTTTTAAAAGTGCAATATTTTTCTTTTTCCTAAAGGAATGATATAATGTTTTACAGAAGCAGAGACTGATGAGAATCCAGGCAAGAGAGGAAAGCTGTCTGAGCTATGCTGAGGTGTGGGCACATGGATGTAGCACTGTATAGAAGGGAATGTTCTATATGCATCACATAGAGGAGCTAGGGAAGTCTTAACAGCTCTCTACAGTGTTGAAAACTCTGAATGTATTGTATTTATTTTATAGTATTTATGTATTTCATGATCATTTGTTCAAAAGCAGACTGTGTAGCTGTGAACAGAGTTCATTCCTACGTTCAGATTAAAAAGGGCTCTTTGTATTTGGTCTTGCCCTAAGACCCACTCTATCATCACTGAGTACTTGGTTAAGTGCAATGTGCTGCAGACCAAAAAGATTATGTTTTAAAGCAATCACAAGAGCTTTTAGTTACTTCTGTTGAATAACATTTGCATAGAGCTGGCAGACTTGCCTTGCCAAAAGGGTATTCTTTACCTCTGCAGACAGTGAAAGTGTCTCAATTTCACTCCTGCCTGCAAGCAAATCTAGCAAATGAAGGCAACACTGTTAAAGTTCTTGGAAATATAATCTGAACAGTTACAAATTTTTTTTCCACCAAGTCTTTGTGCCTTTTTTTAGACTCTAAGTTAAATAGAACTGTTTAATTTCTTGCTATTTTAAGCCCATACCATAAATCACAGCATAATGGGTACTAATGGAGGTCCTTTTCCTGCAAGTCTTCTATACAGTTCCGAGTGCTCCTCAAGCAGCAGGGCTGGTGGTTACTGAGCACTTACATTAAGGGCACAATTTCTCAGCACTGGTAGAAACTTGCTGCTGGTGCAATGCATTCAGCACAGGGAGATCTTTTGCTTCCCTCTTGCTAATGTACTTAAGAGTGATGGTTGAATCTACTGGACAGCAAGCAGTCTGTATCCCATGGGAAATGTCCATTTGATGCTTTATCCCAAATGCAAATAGTAGGTTTGATGGAATTCTCAGGCTGGGACAGAAATTACCTGTCATGGTTAGTGAAAGCAAAGAACCCAGACAGTGTTAATCTTCTGTCAAGTATACAAAAAAAAAAAAAGGATTTTCAGGAAATAGTGTGCATCTTGCTGGTCCTCCTAGGGGAAGGAGATTCTTTTAGTGAATGCTCTTTATATAGGGTAATTTTGGTTTCTTCAGAAGCAGCCTCCCTACACAATGACACAGCAGCTAAGAAAGCACTGGATGCTCCTTCCTCTGGCTCTCTGGGATGTGCTGCACTCACTGTTTGTTTCTGACTGGTTTAAAAAAAGTATTGAGGGAAGGGTGTGTGGGAGGCGAAGGCTTTGTTGTGACTTGAGATGTGTGTCAGTTCTTTCCTGCAGTTGGAGAGCTATTTGTGTGCTGCTCACGTGCTGTGCTTTATTTAGGGATAGGTGATTCCTGAGACTGTTGATCTATCAGAAAAATAAGCACAGGGTTGGATGTCCCATCAGCAAATAGAGAATAGGCCCACAGATAAAGCCTGTGCCTGCCTGGCCTGAATCCTGACCCAAATTCTGTGACTTTGGCCCATTCATAACACTAAGCTAATTTCTCTTTCCTCCCAGATGCTGCAGGATGGAGTCACAGCAGGGAGGGAGCAATTCACACTGTCTATTTTAGGCTGCCTTTGGTTGTGGTGTGATTCAGAGCACCTGAGCACAGGAGCTCGGGATCCGTGCGTAGTAAATGTAGGCAGGTAGAGAAACCTCTGGGGACAACTCAGAGCTGCCAGCGAGATATCTAATATTAGACATGGGAAAAACACTCTGGAGGACACTGCTCTGCAGTTTACCTCGTGCACAATTTAGGTTGATTGTCTATGTAGAAAAAGCTATTCCTGGTTCCAGGTGATGTCAGGAAGCCTTCGGACACCCCTCCCTGGCTGCTGGAGGGAGCAGGGGGCCCTGGGGGGGGCACAGGGTCAATCCCCCATCTGCCCACCCCACACAGGAGCCTTGGAGGGGCAGGAGAGGTGGGGACAGACCCCCTGCCCTCTCCAGCCCCTCTGAACCTGCTGCCCCCAGCCCCAAATCAACAGTGCTTTCACCAGTAATCTGATTTTAGAAAATATCAGCCTAAGGGGAGGTAGTAGATGGGTGTGGGAGGTGTCACTGATCACAGGGTTTATCTGTGCAGCTCATCCAGCTGGCACCAGATGAGTCTTTGCATTAAAGATGCCCAAAATCCTGGGGAGGCTCTGCAGGTTATGGAGCTGTGGGTGATGTGGAGCTGGCCCAACCCAAGCACTCACCATCCCAAACATCCACGCTGCCTCCTAATTTACTGAGGTGCTTTTGCCCACCCTTGCTTTGCACAAGCAGCCAGTGGCACCCACTGCATTGGCCAGTGGTTTCCTTACACACCAGACTGTGGTTTGTCATGGAGCCTGAGGGGAGCTGGGAGAGCAGAGCCTGAATCCCTGCTCCACAAACACCTCTGTGAGCCACTGCCCTGCCTTCTCCTCCACTCCTGGCAGCTCCTTGGCACCCCTGGGATGTGCATCCCGAGGCATTCCCAGTGGGATTTGCTGCTGTAACTAAGCCCTTCTAAAAGCAGGCAAGGAGATGGAGCTTTGGGATGCTGCTGCTGCTGGAGGAGAGCAGCCAGGGAAGGAGGAAGCCTGCACAGAGTGTACAAACTGGGTGAAATCCTGACATATTAACCTTCAAGAATATTGTGATCCACCTTGTGAACCAGTTACCAACTAGAATACACTGTATACCATATGATAGACTTTTGTACAAAAAAATAAAAAAAGAAATTAAAGCTATAGGTACATTGTAATCCTTGGTGTGATTGAAAAAGTGTCCTAGATTGTATTACTTAATTAAAATTATGATGAGCATATTGAACTGTTTTTCGTATTTATGCCTTATAAACTTGATATATTACACATGATAAAATGAAACTGCAAAAACTATAAGAAAAGATACGCCATTTTGGGGGCAAATTCCATTTTGCTTTTCCTAAAAATAAGAGTGCTGCTTTAAATGAGCTTAATAAATCATGTGTGCAGAAGAGCAAGAGTAGGATATGTCCCCAAATGACTTTTTAGGATTTTTTTTTAATGGGGCTTTGGTTAATGTACTATGTAATAATTTTATTTTATAATGTTACTGTACAATGTTGCCTTTTGGTTCATTTAAATATAACACCAAATAAACTTGAAAATTACAGTGTCCTAAGTTTTAATGAAACAGTTATAATAATTTATTACTCCATTGCTTTTCCTGGTTTTTTTTTTCCCCTGGGACATCAAGATAGCCATGGGATGTGAGTGTCTCACTGTTAGATAACTAAGCAGCCTATCTAGTTCTTGGCAGAATTGCTAATGGATTTCTAACTTGTGAAATAATAAGATGGCAGAAGATAATGAAAAATGAGTTTGTTTGGTTTCTTTTAAAAGCTCCTTTGCATCACATTGTTTGGGCTTCTGGAAGATTAGCTCTTGACACTAATCATATTTCATTTTATAGGTTATTTCATGCCTGAGTTTTGCCATATTAACTGTTTTAACAAGGTCATGAGTAATATTTTGGTACCTCTTTAACTTACATGTTTATGCAACCCTGTCCCTTTTATGTCAGTACTATAGATAAGTGTTCATAATCACCTGTGAACAGGCAGCCAGTTTATTTAGGGTCCCTGTATGAATTTAATTTGCTGCTTGTGAGTTGTTAATTGCAAAATCAGGTTGTCTTGAAATTCCAGGTGTTGAAACAGAGGTAGAGCTGAACCTACCACTGTCAGAGGTTGTAGAGGGCAGCTGTGGAAGAGGACACATAAACAATGGGCAGTGACATGAGAACACACAGTGATGTGAGATCCTCAATTCCTCCTCTCTGCTGCACAAACATGAAAACACAGTGATGTGAGAGCCTGATTTCCTTTTCTCTGCTGGACAAACACCTTCAATGCATTGCTTTTGTAGTTTTGGTCAGGATGGGGAATGCTGAGTGTTCTCTGCAGGGCCAGGCCAGCAGCTCCCACCTTGGGTGCTCACGTGTTGTGAGTCAGGCTGCAACCATAGGTCCCTATGGATGGATTTTCAGTCCCAATTTCGAGGTTTCAGTTTTGGAGATAGTTTTGCATTCATTTGCACCAATGGTTTATCATGAGTTTGCATAAATTTCAGGTTTTTCTCTTGTACCCATCAAGTCCAGAAGCTTACAAGCAGGAGTGCCATTTTGATTTTTAGATTACAGCACAAATCCAGGAGCAGGAACATTCATAAAAATGCTAAGTGGGACCAGGCTCATGCCAAAAAACCCTAAGCACTCTGGCACAGCCTCCCTCAGCCATGAAGCTGTGAATATTGGATATATAGATCTCATCTGGGTCATCGCCGTGCTGGAAGATGGAGCAGCTGCCAGGTTTCTGTCTGCTGGATGGAGCCACCGAGTCTCAAGGTAGAAGAAAACTCCTACACACAATGTTGTATTGGCAACCAAGGCCCAGCCCCAGGAGCTCAGTGCTCTTTGAATGTGTCACAGCAGTCAATTGTGCTGGTTGAATAAATCCTTGGTTTCACATCGAGCTCTGGTGAATGGCTCTGGCTGTTGCACAAACAGTCACAAGCAGAGCATTGGATCTCAGGGCCATACATTTCCTTTTGAGGAGCTCCTGTGTCTCCATCCAATTGCATCTGCAAACAGAAGAAGGGAAAGCAGGCAATGCACTCCTACTGAAAGGAAAGGTCAGTTGTGTTGGTGTGCACTTTGGGAAAAGCCAAGCACCTGGGGAAGTAATTGCGGAGATGAGGTAAGTTTTTAAATTTCATTTTTTCCTTGCTGTCTTTCCAGGAAAGGACTCTATCTTGTAAAATGCTGCTCTGCTAGTGGTTCTCCAGCAAACTTGGCTACTTTGGATGGCTTCTGGGACACTGGATAACTTGATATCTTGCAGGCTGTTACCTGAATCTACAACGTTCACTTAGATACTGGAACAAACGCTTCAAACAAGAAAGAAGTGGGCTGTCAGCAGCCAAACTCCTCCCATGAGTAAGTTCCCTATGGTTTTATTTATGTTCTTCAATACAGTACAAACAATGTGCAGGAGGGGCTTGAAGCTCTTCCAGAAGCAACAGTGCATCTACACCTTCCCAACAGGCACAGACTGAGATTTCCAAGGGAGAGCAGATCAAGGCCTTGGATGAGCCCAGCACAAGAAATCAGCTGTGCCTGGACTGTGCATGGCACCACAAGGCACTGCTGGTCCTGGTGGGCAGCAGTGGATGGTGGGGAGATGTGCAGAGCACTTTCTGGATCAGGGAGGTTTTCTGCAAGGCATAGCACAGTGCAGGGTTGAGGGAATGGTGGGTGTCTGGAGATGTGGTTGCTGCTGAGGCTGAAAGCTTTTAGAAATTGAGAGCATTGTGGCAGCATTTACCCATCCCCAGTCCTGCTCCTCCCTGCCCTCCTGCATCCTGGACCTGTGGAATTTGGGATATTCCTCTGAGGCACTAATCAGGTCTCTGGACATACAGAGAAGGCTCAGCTCCTGCCTTTTCTCAAATTTAACCAGATTTCCTCAGTAAAAAGAGGGAATTTTCTGCCAGACATTGATGCTTTGGCATCAGCTAAATAAAAAAATCCCAGGGTTTGTGATCTCCTTATCCCATGGAGAGGCTGATAGCACTAAGGGGTTGTGACCTGGCCCCTCTTCTCATCACCCCCAAAACATCATGAGACAGCCCTGGAAATGGCAGGGCTACAAAACAATTCCCATTTGCTTTCACACTGGGCTTTGTGGGAGCCTCATCTCCTGCCAGCCTCTGCAACCAGAGGGCTGGAAACTGATTTCATTTATTAAGGATGGAAATATATGGGTGAACTCCTCGGGTAGGAACACGCAGTTCTGATTGCTGGTTCTTCAAGAAAAATGGGAAATCCTGCTATTCACAGCAGAATTGCTCTGTTTTCCCTGCTCATTTTGAGCCTGTGTGCAATGTGCTGTTCCCCAGCACGTGGTGAGGCTCCAGCCTGTGCCCACAGCAGCAGGTGTCCCCCTGGAAGAAGGAGAAAAGAGGGAATTACATACAGTAAAAAAAAGGGACTAGAGAGATGCTAATTGTTTTGTCTGTTCCTGGAAATTATGTGGAATCTGCTCCTTTTTGAACAGCTTTGCTGTAAACTGTGCTTTAGTGACAGACACATCTCTGCATTGAAAAATCCTCCTGATCTGCTGTCCTGCCAGACTGCCACACTTCCAGCAATAACAGAGATTCATGTTGTGCAGCATGTTTTTCCTCATGTAATGTTGGGGGGAGAGAACCAAGGAAGCTGAGTCATTTATCTTTGCTTGTCTTGGTAATGAAATATTGCTGTTGAACTTTACCCTGCTTTTCCTGTTACTGTATATATAATTTTTTTTTTTTGCAATGGTTACCATTTAAGAGGCTCACAAAATTGCATTAGTAAAATTTATGACTGTGTAGCAAGTATGTGCATATGCATTAATTCTGTTCAAGGCCAATATCTTGTAGCTGCAAAATTAATGTTATGGTGCAGTTTCTAAGTATGGCTAATGGCTGTTCAATAAAGCAGGGATCATGTTTTGCTCACCTTACAGGTCTTAATTCCTTGAAACAGTGCAGCCTTGAAGAGTTTGCCAGGTAAAAGTTAAAAAATGGTACATGCACGACACACAAATATGTATTTTTTATGCATTTTTGTTTATGCAATTAAGCCTTGAAAATTTTGGCCCAGTGAGTTGGTTCAGTTGGGTTTCTGCTGCTTTGCTGTGCTTTTAGTTCCAGGTTTCAAAAGCAGATGTCTATTGGTGCAGTATATTAAAATTGGGGCTTTTAACCATGATTCTGCTCTGGAGAGACTGAACTGGATGTTAATGCTGCCCTGAGGGCTACAACTTGTGCTGTTGTGGAGTCAGTGAACAATAACTGTTCAGTAAATGATAAACTAATGGACATTACTTAAATTTAAACTTTCATTTTCTTACTATGCAGAAAAGTCACTTTCTGCTAGAAGGATGAATTAGTGTTTGTAGCCTTTTCACCAATTTAAAGATAGTTGCTAGTCTGGTATTCAAGGTTGGAGACATAACATAAGACAAATGAGTCTTATGTTGAGTCTTGTTAGCCAATGTTGAAGGCTTGCTCATGTTGGAGAAAAGAGGTTGGAAGAATATTTTCAGGATGCTGAGGCAGGAATTTAGAAGGTATCTGACAGCACTTGTTTATGTCTCCAAAGCTTTGTCTGACAGCCAGAAGAAAGCTCACTGCTGATCTTGGTGCTGATGTTTGGGATGGGGCATGTGCAAGATCACTGAAAACTCATCCCTTGGGATTCAGGAGCATGAAGTGTTGAGGAGCTGAGAGGTGCTGGAGCTCTAGGGCAGGCAAATGTCTGGGTATGTCCAAGTCACACCATGCATGAGCCTACTGGTCCCAAAGGTGGCTCCAACCACAGCAGACAAAGGGATCAGTGGCAGCAGCCTGCAAAGAGAACAAAAACCCCCATTTATGTTCTTGTAGCCTCTAGGAACAAGAGCCATTATGGGGGGGGCAGGGGACAGTGACACTTATTTTTAATCTGCTGGAAGAGCTGAGCTGCCAAGAGTAAGGCACCTGTGGGATGGAAAAAGCAGTGCAGTGGGAAAGATAATTTCATGTGAAAGCTCTCAAGGCAGTGCCGTATGTCTTCCATGTTTTGGGACTAGTTGCTTGATCTCTGTGGGCTTTCATTTTGTGCCAGTTACTCACTGTGTCTCTCTTCAGGCATTTGCTTGGAATAGAGCTTGTGCCTTGCTGTGGGGTTGTGAGATGCCCAAGAAAAGAGGGACCAAATGAGGGCTGAGAAATCTGACAAGCACCACCTTGATGCTTGTGATAGCATTGCCAGTGTCATAAATACTTACAGCTAGATCGGTCCTCAGATTTGTAACTCTGGTGGTAATCAGAGCTACGACACCAGGGAGGTGTTTGGCTCAGTTTGTCCAAGTGTTTTGGCATTGTGAGAATGATGGTAAGGCTTTTGGGGGAAGATAACATGAGAGAGAAAAGCAGGGGAAGCATGATGCCCTGCTGGGAGCATGGGGAGAGTGGGATTAGTGCTGCACAAGATGGGCAGACAGTGAGCATCTGCTCTGGGCCACCAGGATCACAGCACAGCAGGACTGAAAAATTCTTGGACCAGTTATCAAGGAATTGGGAAATTCCAGGATACTC